TTTGAATTTCTCTGGCCTCCTTAGCGTTTCATGGACACTGTCAGAGAAAATGTGTTTTCACCAAATTTCTCTGACTTCGGAATTTATCAACCATGAACCATTGCCTCCACTCCTACTCTCATTCACTGCCATACCCACTGAATTGATTATGATAATACCAGATCAAATTCCATAAAAACAAGCACACAAGTGTGTTTATAAAATTAGAGAGAGAGAGAGAGAGAGAGAGAGAGAGAAAAAAAACAGAGTACAGAGAAAATTTGATTCTTGGTTGCTCCCAGAGAAAATTCAATTAAAAAATCAGAGAATTTCTCTGGTTTCAACCCAGAGAAAATTCAGTTCAAATGAAAAAAAAAAATTCAGTTCACTACTCCAAACACACACCATATATATACCACACGTACACACACAAATTCATTGAATTTGGAACTTGATCATAGAAGTACTCTTGTAGGCCAACAAGTGTAAACCCATCTCCAATCCCAAGAATGATGACTTCAGGAGCTAACCACAACACGCTCATAAACAGATACCCAGAGAAATTTCCTAACCCAGAGAAATTTCCAGACAAAACTTTCTACAGAATTTCTCTGGACTCCACAACCCAAAGAAATTCCAGACTGGGTCATTTTATTAAATTGTGTACATATATATATATGAAAATATGTAAAAAGTACCTTTCGATTCAAAATATACTAAAATGTCTTGGATTTCTCTTTGCAAAACGAAAAACTTTATGAAAATTCTAGGAAATATTGTAGAGATGTAAGAGATACAAAAAATACAATTTAATTGATAATATTGTGGTGCAGATTTCTGATGCTACGGGAGAGGCAACACAAGAAGAGGGATGGCTGCTTTGTCATATCTTCAAGAAGAAAAACCACCACAAAACCCTAGACAACAACAACAATCACATCATCAATGTGGAGACAAGAACCCAAATACCCAGTTCAACAAGTGACGAAGGCACCTTAGATCTGGTTTCGAGAAATTGAAGTCTCCTACTGACTGTTTGTTTCTCGGTGACGCCATTGAAGGCCGGATCCGGTGAAGCTGGAGCTCAATCGGTTGGAGAATGAAGTTAGGGGTGAGGAACAAGAGTTGATCTGGACAGGTATGAGAATGGAGAAGTTTAGAGAGAGAGAGAGAGATGAGTTTTGATTTGGTAAGGTCAAATTTCTCTGTGATATGTTTAGGGACCTTAGACATTAAAAAATAATTTTGTAGATCTCTTCCATTATGAAAAGTGGGAGAGGGACCCTAGACCAATTTTCCCTAAATAATATATATACATTTTAATATAAACTAAATGACAACATATTATTTTTCATCCAAATGAGCAACGAATTGGTGATGAAAAATAACCAAGTGTCATGCGAATTAAACTATTAAGGGAAAGGAACCCAACGTAACTATATTAAAATTGTGAGACTTACTATATTTTCTTTAAATCTCAAAAGTGATCAATTTAATTTGCCCTAATAAGTAATGTTAAGGTAATCATATTCACTTATCACATTTGGGTAATAAAATGTGTTATCTTACATGATGCTTAAAGGTGGAAATCATGTTGGGTCGAGTTATATTAGGTTTGCGTCAAAAAAAACTCAACATTTACTCAATTTATTTTAGTAATTGTGTCAAATATCTTAACACTGCCCTAACAGTGACATGTTTAAAAAGTATATCAGGTTCGCAAAAAGCCACAGATTCACGCCCCGGTTTGGCTTTAACTGTGGAAGTAATTGTGTCAAGATGTGCAAGTACATTACTTACATGTTAGACAGGAGCCAACGTGTTTTTTACTGTGGAAGAGGCCTAATATCAAGAATCCAACCTACACTACAGCCCAAATTTGATGGGTCCTATAAAGCCTTGTGACAGTAGAAAAATCATTGTGGCACTAAAATGAATTTGAATTACTATTAATTTTTTATAAACCTTTTTTGGGCCAAAAAAAGTGAAAATGCTAAAAATTCAACTCATTAGCAAAAGATCACGTCATCCATATCAATCAATCATTTTTTTCGTCACAATTATCTGTTCAAGTAAAAAAATCATTTGAAATATTAATTTTTTTTACTTCATAAAAAAGTTAAAAAGTTACTGAATAAGTCAAGTTTCCAAACGGGCATATAATGCAAGGACAAACCAACAGACTTCAGGATCACCAGCAAAAGCAATAATACGAGCACACACTACATACACAGAAGAGAAAAAAAATCACAAAAAAATGAATATATATGTGTATATATTTAACTACACCCAACGAATATGAATCACAAGCTTTTTTTTTTTGGTGCACTTTTCCGCGAAGCAAATGGCTGCACCGACCCTTTGGCCAAGGAAAGCAGCTCAATGAATGAATATGCCTCATTATTTATCCTACTTTGCCTAGTTTTATTATTGATAAAAGAAAAAGCGTGATAGCTCGAATTGGAGGCACCAAGTCCTGGTTTTTGTAAGTCTTTGCAACTTGGTCTTATACTCCTAGACTACCCAACAATCACCCGGTGAATTACAGCGGCTTTGCAAGTCTTGGACTTTGAAAGTCTTTGCGACTGGTCTTTTGTTGAGCCGAAAACTTGGAATTTTATTCGTGGACCATACAAGAGAGGTTAGAAATATGGAGAATTTTCTAATGCACATTTTAAAAATATTGATATTTCGTATTTTCAGTTATGATTTTTGTGATTTTTAATTATGAATAATTGTGATTTTGTTAGAATTTTGTTAGATTTATTATAGTGCGTTATGATTTAATTATGAGTTTTCTTTTTAATTATTATTTTGGTTACAATTGAAAAATGTCTTTCATTATGTGTCATGAGAGTTGTTTGATTACGATTTACTATGGTGTTAATTATAATTTATTGTGATTATTATTTTAGTTATAATAAAAAATCTTAACTATGTTTTAAGTAATATTTGGTTATGACTCATTGTATTTCTTTTAATTATGACTAAAAGTGATTATTTACATTACGAAAATGATATATATAGAACTCACTTTCTAAACCTATTTTAACACTTAGTGATATATAAAATAGATGATTAAAGAGAGTATGAGAGAGAGTTGTTTTAGATATTCTCATAGACTGTCACATCATTAAGTTTAAAAAGCGAATCTAATTTTTAGATTAGAATAGCACTACTCTTTTAAACTATAACTCATTACTTGCGTATGATAAATTATAGTAAACTCTTTTATACTAGAACTCATTTGTGCTTTATTTCCTGAATTTTAAAATTCAACAGTTAACCCTCTTAGGTCATGTTTGATTCACAAAATTAATAGTGAAGTATTAATAATCCTATTAAATTAGTGTGGCATTCACTATCCAATTGGATTAATAATCCCACTCCTACCCCATTACTAATAATCCTACAAATTTGTTGGATTAATTATCCATTGGATTAATAATCCTAAACCAAAATGTTAAAACAAATATAGGATAATTGGGCCCACGGATTAATAATCCTAATCCCATGCTCTAATCCACCCAATCAAACATGCCATTAAAGTATTATCTTAATACAGTTAACGTTTTTTATTAGAATTCTATTAAAAATTTATAAAAAATCTGATTATGTATGAAACATATGACACATTTATTGAATTTTTAAAACAATAATACACACCCTTTGACATTACCCCAAATTATTGAATGATATTTTTAAATGGCTGTCAAATTAAAGCGAAAGGCATTAAAAATGGCACCAGCAGCCAAGGTCGTCTAAAGATTCTTCGTGATAAAAAAATAAAAAGAATTTGAAAAAGATTCTGCATGAGAATTTAATTAAAAAAAATTTATCGTTAAAAATCAATTATTAATTATGAGATTAGCACCTATAAAAATTAATCTTTCTACTCTTGCAAAGCACTATCAATTGCCTCTAATTCAACTTTTCTTTTAAAAAAATTGTACCATGACTTTCCAATTGATAATTTAATTCACACCATATAGTATCCAGATAGGAAGGCTCCAAAACCACTATCAAGCCTTTTTGTTTCAATATAGCCATGACCCATGTACTGGCATTAGTGAGGTACAAGGGTGCAATTAGGACAAATTTGTTTGGACTGGTTTAGAGGTTATTCAAATCCAGTCCAAATTATGTCAAGATTTATCTAGACTTGAATTGTAAATTGATGCTGTTTGTTTAAGTCTGATTGGAATTACCCGAATTACATAAAAATTATTTATTGCGGTTATCACCTTTGTCTATCGCGGCTGTCAGCCTCCTCACCGGACGACCGGCCGGACAACCAGTCGGATGTCCGCCTGGACGACCGGCAAGATGAATTTCGAGCCATTTGAGCCAACCTCATATTTGGACTACCAAACATTACTCATTGATAAATTACATCAATTATGTAATGATGCTTTAGAAACCTTGTATCCCAGACTTGTGTGTTTGACTCTGTTCAAATTTTCTCTAACATCAGTATTATTATAAAATAAAATAAAAGCATTATTGCCAACTAAGTTCTAAAAGATTTGCAAATCCAAATCTACCACAGAGGACTGAGTTCAATTAGGCCCTATTTGCTCAGTTGGGTTAGGTGTCCCCAGTAGCGGCCTAAGGTTTTTTGAGACGGTAGCCTAAAGAACAGAATGAGATTTTATTTTAATGGGCCTTTGAAAAAATGTTTCTTTTAAAAAAAAAAAATTTAAAATCTTAAACAATAAATTAAGTGACCTAATGATTAAGTGAATTGAGAAACCTGACCAATTGTCCAATGCCCCAGAAAAGGAAGGAGCGTGTGGCTAAATTCATCACTCACGTGCATGCAATGAATTACACTGCATCTACTCCTAAAAGCAAAACATGAGAGAGAGAGAGAGAGAGAGAGAGAGAAGGGCGGAGGGGGGGGGGGGGACCAGAGTTTCTGACAAAGCTGATCATGATATGCCACCAACAGAAACCGAAATCACCACATCTATCCACTCCAAAAGAAAGAAAAAACAGAGAGCTATGCTGCACCTTAAAAATGGTAAAACACTCACCCTTTTAACAGTTATAACCCACCCCCCACTTTTCTCTCTACTTTTACCCAGTTACAACCTTTATAACCCACAACTCCTCTCCTCTCTCTCTCTCTCTCTCTCTCTCTCATCTGCAAGCTCCAACGGTCTGTGTTTGCCCCACTTCATAATGTTCAACTTAATTCATAGATTTCATAAATATAATTTTTTATTTATTATGGCTTATTAATGGAAAGAATTCAACTGGGTACTGATTGCTTACAGACATTCTTTTTCTCCATCTTCATTTTCTTGAAATTCTAACTGGAAATTAGTGTTTTTTTCTTTGCAAATTATGGTTTTCTCGCATATCCTTGAACTGTCTTTGATTGCTCATGCGTTCCTAGTTTCTGTTTTCTTTGTTTTTTCAGCCAAAAGGTAAGAATGGATGAAAAGGTTCTGTTTCACGCATAAAAGGAGGAGGTTTTAAGATCTTGGAAGAGGGGTACCTCTGTAAGAGTTGCAATGCCAGTTCCTCTTGCTCCATATCCAACTGCTACGGCACCGTTTACACCACCTGCAAATGGTAAATTACTCAATTCTCCACTTGTTTTAGCCTAAAAAACAATATAGAATTCTTCACTGCTAAATTGCCAAGATAATTAAGGAAATGTGTGGAGGTTTACCATTACTTGGAGTCTGGAGATGAGTCTGTAAGATTACAAATTTGATTCCATTTACCCAAACAGACCTTAATCATGCAATCCTAAATGCAAGAGATTATTATGAGAGAAGTTAGCAAATCCAGTATCAAGGAATCATATGGTTAGTATTGTTTGCGATATTGTTTTGTTTCAATTTCTCTTCTGGGTAGTCTCATCAACCAAGAACTCATCAAGACAGAGTTGCCCTGTTTTATGAAACACTTTATTGTCACCGATCTACTGTTTTAGAAAAGCAATTTTGATCATCAGGTGCACAAAGCCAGCTAGTGTGTTCCGGATGCCGAAACCTTTTACTCTATCCAGTTGGAGCAACCTCTGTATGTTGTGCTGTCTGCAATGCAGTCACAGCCGTGCCACCCCGTGGTGTGTTCCTTGCTTCTCTTTTTTCTCGGCTTTTCTAACCCTGAAACATTGTAACAAAGCATAACTTGATCAATTCTGTTTCATACATTCGATTTCATTTTTTAAAGATAAATGATTTTCATAGTCTACAGCTTAACAATCTTATTGATTGGACTCTGACAAGGCACGGAAATGGCTCAGTTGGTTTGTGGAGGCTGTCACACCTTACTCATGTACATTCGTGGAGCGACTAGTGTACAATGCTCGTGTTGTCATACTGTCAATTTAGCCTTGGAAGGTATAGAACTAGTGTTAACATGAATAGATTCATAAGATAGTGTATGCTTTGCCCACGCATTCCTAATTGAGCATCAAATGTGTATGGTGGCAGCAAATCAGGTGGCACATGTCAATTGTGGGAACTGTCGGATGCTGTTAATGTACCAATATGGAGCACGGTCTGTGAAATGTGCAGTTTGCAATTTTGTGACATCAGTTGGGGTCAGTATGAAATACCCTTTTACTCGTCACCTTATTATATAAATGATTAATTACATTGATCAGTTACACGTCCACATAAATATTTATCAAACTGCACAAGATTTCCCAGTCACAAAATGGAAATCAATACCAGCACAAGATTCGCAGTTCATTACTATTTCAAGACAAATACGAATGACTCAGGGATTCAAGATCATTATCACCCTTTAGACTAGTGTATATCAATTATGGTGATGGTAACCAATATAGCGTGATCCTAATTCCCTTTTCCCTATACAACTTGACTGACATGTTTAATTTCAATCTAACAGCAACACCAAGCGTCCAAAGCATTTTCTTCAACATTATCTTTCAGAATTTTTTATTGTTTTTCATGTGAGCAGACCCTGAGACGATAAACTCCAACACTAGTTGAAAAATACTAATCCTGCAGTAAGATAAGTAGATGATAAGATTTAGGGATCAGTGCAAGAGTTTCATTTTTGTGTTTTATCTGATTAAATATGAATGTTCTTTGGATGATGCAGGCCTCAACAAGCACTACTGAACAAAAGTTCAACAGCTAAAATTGTGCAACAGTTAAGTTGGTTACTAGTTACTACAAAGACCATTTCAGTTTCGGAACTCACAGAGTCCCCCCAGTATGTGCATCTCTGAACAAGCAAAACATTTTCTCCTTGCTACTTGTATAGAGTTATTTTCCCCTTGCGTGACTTTATTATGAATAAGAAGTTTTGGTAATTAAATTAGATGTCTGAGAAGTAATGTATAAGCAGACTTTAAGGTTATGAGTGCATTTAATGTTATTGGATAAGAAAAACTTCATTTTCCTTCGAGTTTCAGATATGCATCAGTGGCATAAAGTACACGGCATGAAGTTATTTCAGTATAATGTCATTTAATTGTCAAAAGGTTATCCCCATATGAATTGCTTCCATTCCACCAATAAATGAAAACCGTAGTTTCAAATTGAGTTCCAATAAATGACTTTCGTGACCAAAGAGAGAAGGAAAGGGCAAGTGTTGAGGTGAGAATCACATAAAAGAAAACCGACTGAAAATTGATGTATAGATTTGACTTGAACTCTAACCAAAATAAATAAAGATGTGACTTGTATAAAAATATCTTGGGGTTACTCAGAAAGATTATTTGTTAAAGAAAATAGAACTAGTTAAATCAGAATAAAAGATTCCTGAATTTAGAACCACCTAACCCCATTTCTGCAACAAAAAATAAAATAAAATTGGCAGCATAGTTTTTAAAGGCGACAGATGGACGTGAAAGCTTGATAAATTGAGAGCATCAGAAAAATAGAAATAATTCTAAAAGTTGCACCTCTTTTTCATTTATTCCATCAACTGACCTTTGCTAATTAGCTGTATCCAGCTATTTGTGTAAAGATTTGTAGGGCCACGTCTCCTTTTGTGTCACTAGCCAAAGCATTTCACCTAACCTCATCAACCCATGCCCTTTTAGTACTCGACATTGTCCAAGTTTTTTCAACTTGAACCATGTGAGCTCTTAATAGTGGAAACAATTTTCATCAGTTACATTATTAGACCATCTCTTTCAACTATTCGACTTGCCACTAATTGGTGCTACCTCGAAATTCTTGGAAATATCCTTGTATTTCTTCTCTTTTCACTCGTTTGTATTACCATCCTCTTTCTCATATAATTATCAATTTGATTCAGTGCCACAAACTATCTTTGCTCAGTGCCATCTTACATAGTTTTCCCATTCAAGTGAGATAAATGGTTAGTTGAGTAAAATAAGATGTTTGCCCTTCATTGGCAAACATTCATGTCAATCACACAGCATTTTCAAAAGCAGACTACAGTCATCAAATTCTCACTTTTTAATATCTCCCTCCTTATGGATGGTCTAATAAAGTGACAAAAATGGTAGCTTTCAAGAATCCCTTGGCCATCAATCTCAACTATCCCAATTTCAACCCCTTGCTATTTGCATCCACACATTAAGCATCTTCAACTTTTTGTAACTAAAATCTGAAGGTCCTATCAACACTTCAATTTTCTCCTCTCGAATAATCATCTAGAAGGGTGCAGGTAAAAAACAATTAAACCATTGGATCTCTTCCCTCCATCTTAACTCCTATCATCCAAATTATAAAAGCAGATATCCAATTTTCTGTCTTTAACATTTTTTTTCTTATTTTGTTCACAGAAAATTTTGTTCTCAAAACCCATTTATCATTCATATCTTTGTAATATTGTGAGTGGATTTCAAGCTTCGTATCCTAACCTATGAAAAAAGAAAAAACATAGAGAGAAAAAAAAGTATATTACATCGACGTGAAGGCCAGAGTAGAGGTTTTCTTTCTTTCTTTCTTTCTTTTCCCTGAGTTTTTTAAATATCCATCTACATAAAGAGATCCCTTTGCCTCAAACATATTTCCCCAGAACATTGACTGGACCAACATATCAAACTTTGAAGCAGAAACTTTCAATTTATCTTCCATACATTCAGTACCTCAATAGAGATGTAACCAGTAGTCAATGATGACAATGGTATTTGAGCACTGCCTTAAGGGCATCACATAGCCATGTGCCACATCATGCTGCAGAGCCTCAAGGTTGTGGCATGATGAACTGAGAGAAGAATGGAAGCTAGATAATGATGCCTGGAAGCCTTTGACAACGAGGGAGCACCATACTATACACAATTAACCCGCCGTTAAGGGTACTGCTAACCCCAGTTTTTGTTGGCACCAACTCCTATCTAGCCAACCGGATTCCTAAAGTTACCTGTAGTTTCTTGATCACTATGTAAACGTTCATAGTACATCATAATTTAATTTCGCGTAGTTTGTTTGTGGTTGGTCTTTAAGATATGTATACAAGCCAATTTCAAAGTAAGCACTATATTCATGTTATCACTAAGCAGGCATGAAGGAGTAAATCCCGAACTGCAACTATCTACTTCAAATCTTAATGGAAACCCAAGAAAGTTTGTGGTATATCAAATATACTACAAATGGCCAAGTCACCTTTCACAGAGAGAAAATGAAAATAAAATCCACCAAAGATGTGATTTCAAATGAAATGGAAATTTACCACGCAGGCCTATCTAGATCCTTAAATCATGCTAGATTCTCCAAAACATAAAAATAAAAAGGATAGCAAGCTGACCTAGTTTTGTCAGCAGTATAGTCCCTCTCCCTTCACATGGGTGATGCTGATATATGTTCTGAATTCCATCAGATTGACCTAATGACAAAGATACATACCATTCAGAAACCAAAAGCAGAAAATGCAATTGGATAAATATTTCAAGTATTTAAAAGAGTCAGCATAGATTGGAGAATTTGTCCAATTTACGACCTCAAAAGATGCTTTTGTTTTGAAAGAAACTAGGCCTAATAGTCTGTTCCACCCAATCCCCACAACCACAAATTCTGAAACATTGATTGAACACCAACAAATCATAATCTCATTCTCATTAAAGTGGTCCACAATTCCCTTTCAGGAGATTGAAAAATTCAACAAAACGACTTACAAGCAGCAAACAAACCATTCAATAAAGAAACAAAATATCATCTTTGCATTTGTATTTTTATTCAAAAATCATGCCCACTACTTTGGTTTTTTTAAGTGAAGATGATCTTCCATAGTCAGATAAACTACCATGGCTCTAAACTTGACCTCCATATTGATATTGCCTAAATCAGAATGCAAGCTGCTGCAGGAAGTAAACTCAAGCCAGATTGATAACTAAAAATTAGACAATTATACTTGGAATTACTAAAACAGTTTTTGCTCGGAACATATTTTCTGTTATAAATGTAGGCTATAGCATCTTTTCTCATCCCAAGAAAAATAATTATGAAAATAAAACCCATCCATACATTTCTATTATTTCGTGAGAAAGAATTTCAATATGTAGATTGACTCAATGAAAAATAGAACCTTTTTCCATTTCATTTTCCAAGCTATATGATTCATGGACAGTAGCACTGGTACCAGACAAAACTTCTTTAGAAAAGAAGACCCATGTTATATCAATGTTTCTGTAGCAAGTGTTGGATGTCAAAGGTTGGCAATATATCTAATACTTCCCAACAATGTGTTTTTTGTTAACGTTTTCAGCCATCTCGGACATTTCACATTGTCCCAATATGAGAGTTCACAATCATGGGTTTAGTTTCTCATATTTTAACTAGCCACATCCTAGATTAGATTCCTCAAAGGACCGTCTTCAAATTCATGAATCAATTGTGGCACCCACAATGTGCACCTACAATGCACATCTTATGGAGGCTTTTTCTTTTAAAATAATAATAAATAAATACATAAATAACATCACAGTTGCATGCACCTCTCTCTTCATCACATTGTTATCTCAACAATTTTAAGGAGACTGGATTCCAGTTTTTCAAGATATTGCTTGAAGTCACCAAAAAAAAAAAAAAAAAGGTTTATTCACATCTTTTACTGAACCAATTTGCTATTCTTTGGTTTTTTCTTAGTAAGATGAGAGTCCTAAAGCACAGTTTTAGGCATGGAATATCCCAACAAGGCAGATTTGGATTAGAGCAGCCTCACTGTCTTCCTAGTTTCCAAGAAATATCGTCTCTGATGCATTTCATGTCCAACAAATACTTCGTACCAAAAAATCACAATAAAATAGAAAATGTTGGCATCACCATCAAATGATCCATGTCTTATCTCATGCAACAGCTAAGCAATTAGTTCTGATTTCCCCCAAAAAATTACTGGACCATTAGTTAGCATTGAAGGACCACACCATCCTATTCAATAGTGTGTCTCATTCAATTGTTTCAGCAGATTATCACATTTCATGTGCATTTAAAAAAGAAAACAGCTTGCTTTCATTATGATGCTCTTTCTTCTTCTTATTTTTTTTTACTTTTTTTTTACAAATTAGAAAAATAATCCTTCACTTGGCAGTTTTTTTTTTTTTTTTTCAGAGAGAGAGAGAGAGAGAGAGTGGTTCATCCAATAACTGAGAGAAACAAGAGAGACGAAAATACCTAGTACACAATTTAGCAGTAACACTCTTATGTTTGAACAGCTGGTGATCTATAGAACTGTCTAATCTCGATAATATTTTATTCTTCTTTTTTCTTTTCTTAAAGATTCTCTGATCTTGTTTGTATTGCCGGCTAGATTCAAATCTTCAGAAAAAACAAAATCAATATACTAGGAAAAGAACTGCACTGATATCTCCCACAAAAACAACATTCAATTCCAAAGGACAGCCATAGATGGCATGAAATAGACACTCGGAGTAATCATAGTACAATATTAAGGGCTAAATGGAAGCAAAAGGATTAATAAAACGATAAAAACAATGATTAGGAAAGGGAATGGGAAAATATTATACATCTTCATGTTTCACTTATGAATCATCACTTCTAATTCAGCAATCTAACATAGCTTACTCATCACCCATAGCTAACTCCAAAGCATAGTCATCTCTTTCCTGCAGCAATAACACATTGCAGAGGTAAGTAACCAAAAATATAATATAAGCAATTTTGGTGTTAAATCAGCTCTCTTTCTTGGCCATTTCACTTGTTCCTCGTTATTATCATTAGTTCGGTAAAAAGGGTTCTATTTTAGGGATATAGACTTACTATCGGTCCTCTGGCAAAATATCTTCCAAACTGAAGCCAATACACCTGAACAAGCAAAGAGTTTCATATGTCCATAATCCATAATCCAAATAACACAAGATAATTCGAAAGCAATTGTAGTTCCCCTACTATAGGATATAGGCCCTGTTTGGTACAGCTTAATTTCAGCTTATTTCAGCTTTCAGCTTAATTTAAGCTATTTTGATGTGTTTGGTTTAGCTTATAGCTTATAGCTTATAGCTTTGTGGAAGTCAGAAAACAGCTTATTCTTTAAGTGGGGCAGGAGATGCTTTAAGAATAAGCTGGAAATCAGCTTAAGCTGAAAGTTATAAGCTATAAGCTGTTTAAGCATAAGCTATAAGCACTTTCCCACGGCTCTACCAAACAGGGCCATAGTCAAATGTCCTATGAAATATTGTAAGACCCCTTCCATAAAAATAAAGAAAGAAAGAAAGAACAGAAGAAAAATAAAAATAAACAACTAACCCCTCAACTAATGTAATTTAGTGGAATTTCCAACGACTACAATCAAAGGTAGACCCAAATAAGACTAATCAAGTCTGAAATTATGCAAAAATCAAGTTGCAGGACTCATTTCTGCAATTTCCAGCAAACAAGGCTTGAAATCCAGGAACTGTGGAGCTCAAAACCAAACCCTAAGAAGTAGAGACATAGGAAGAAAATAAATTAACTAAATTTGAAGTATTATTTGCCAAAAGAGGTATTACAGCCCGATAACTACAAAATAAAAAGAAGGTGAGAAGTGGCAAACATTAACCACTAAAACCACTCAACAAGAAGCAAGTGAAACATGGTTATATTATATGTAACAATTCAATGACAAGCGAGTGACACATGGCTTATATAATTCCACCTAATGACATGTGTCTTACATGCAACCACAAACAAGTAGGTGATAAACTATTTACTAGAAGCATAAGCCACCTCAATGACAAGTTGTACAAAGGAAACTTAAAGGCAACCACCTTCTAAGGAAGTTATCTCACAACTAAGAATACTAACCAAAATACACCTAATGATAAGAATTCTGAAGTCCATGGAAACCTAAATTTAACAGCAATAATTAACCATATGACTAAATTAAAAAATTCCATCTTCTTAAACTCAGATTTCTATCCTTCTTGCGAAGTAAACACGGCACATTTTCCCACCAAAATTTGTCTTGGATGTTCACCACATCATCAACCCCCACCCCCCTTTCCATCATAGGCAAAACACTTCTAGATTAATATGCCACTAAGAGCATTTTATCAGTCTATTAGGGAACATTAGTGTCAGAGAGATTTGATACAGTAATCGCCCATGGCAACCACATCAAAAACAACTGAAACCCTTCTCCTCTCTCCTAGATATGCTTCCAAACTAATATGCTGTCAATAGCTTCCTTTTCCTTCTTATCAAATTTCGATGAGTTTCAGAATATAGAATAGTAACAGTATAGAGTGTAAAAAGCATTTTCCATCTATTATAGTATGATAGCATCAGAGAGATTTAGAGAGATTTGATCCCAGAGTTTCCCATGACAAGGCCACATTGACTCCAAGAGAATGCATCCAGGAGAAATGGAAGTTTTGAGAAAATAGAGCCATTACTTAGGTTATTAACAATGAACTGAAAACACAGCATCTCATAAAACCCTAAAATCTAATCCTCTAGACCAACAATGAATTACTCTTGTTTTAATTTCCACATCTCAAATCATAACCCATCCTAGAGGGCCTAAATTGCAACTAAATGGTGTAAGAATGGATGTATTATTGATTGATTGATATATTGATTGATGTATTACAAGATTGATTTATTACAATTCCTATACAATCTATATATAGAAGAAAATGTGGTAGTAGGTGTAGTGGAGGTGATAGTGGGTTAGGTGAAGTGGAGTGTGTGGTGAAGTGGAGGTAGGTGAAGTGGAGTGTGTAGTGGAGTAGGTGAAGGTAAAGATGGGAAATTCTAACAGCCCCCCGCAAACTCAAGGAGGAGAGAAACTAACCAACTTGAGTTTGGAGAGAGTAACAAAACAAGAAAATACATAAAAATAAAAAAGGATAGGAGACACTGTATGGTCGTGTCAGACCGTTGGTGAAGACACTGTATGGGGTGTCATAACGTTGTAGAGGACACTGTATGGTGGTGTCAGACCGATGTAGAAGACAGTTTATGGGGTCATGTCGGACCGTTGTAGAAGACAGTTTATGGGGTCATGTCGGACCGTTGTAGAAGACAATGTTGTGAAAGTTTACGGAGTCTTGCTGGACCCTTGTAGAAACTAATCCCATGACAAGGCCACATTGACTCCAAGAGAATGCATCCAGGAGAAATGGAAGTTTTGAGAAAATAGAGCCATTACTTAGGTTATTAACAATGAACTGAAAACACAGCATCTCATAAAACCCTAAAATCTAATCCTCTAGACCAACAATGAATTACTCTTGTTTTAATTTCCACATCTCACATCATAACCCATCCTAGAGGGCCTAAATTGCAACTAAATGATTTAGTTCCTTTTGGAAGTTCAGATAATATGCTGTCAGGTTTTGTGAAAGTGTAAATCGTTAGATATCTACATTACCTCGTCCTCATCTTGTGTTTCAACGTCAATATCAGAGGATGGGTATCCCACACAAAGAAGTGCATAGCCCTGCATTACATGTCAAACAAATGTCAAATTTTATATTAATATAGAACATAAATTCTCCTGTGTTACTTTTCACAATAACATTTTCCCTTTCTGTGGCTGCATTAAGTTGTTTAATGACAAGATATGCAACAACCAAAAAGTGAGCCATCTCCCAATCCAATGAAAGCTACTCTTGTTGGGGTTTCTTTTCTTTCTGGGCCAGGGATAAATTGAGTTCAGGAGAGAGGAGGAAGGTTAGTTCTAATCAAAATAAAAAGTAAGAATATTACACAGAACAAAAGAACTACCACCTTCGTATATCCACCGAAGAAGACACCTTGGAAATGGATGAAATTCTCAAACCACTTATGATTTCACATGCCCTCTTAACTTGTCAAAAAGTGAATCATCTATGACTAAATAACCCACAGCTTTCAAATAGCTCCAGCTTAATATGGCTATTTCAAGTATTGTACAGCCGGACAATATTCAATATATAGAAAACTATGTGAATACTTTGGGTTTATGCAGTTTTCCCAAATGCCTCATTCTTAAATCCTAAATGATTCAATCTTAAACTTCAATCTGTGATGCATGTACACAAATATGAACTATAAACATAATTTTGGGGATGCAACATCAGAATAAGAGACAAGAATCCAAACTCATCCTCTAATCACAAGCTATTAAAAATCACAACCAGAAGGAGAATTTTACGTGCCTTAGATTTCAATTCTGCAGATATCCCTAATGCTTCAGGCTGTCTAATTTGTCCAGATTTTACACGAACAGCACAGCTAGTGCAACAACCTGAAATGAAAAAACAGTAATAATTAGTGTTTAATTCCTTGGCAAATAGCAAGGATTCTAATTATGAAGTAACTTTAAACTAAACCTTGTGTCCCAACCCAATCAAGTAACTTTGTTTGTAATATCATAACAAAATACACAAACTTAACATATACAAGGATAGCAATAGCAGGTACACATTCAAATGCAAAACTTTCAATTACTGACATGTATCTTGAACAAAAATACCTAAAGTAACAGTCTAAGCATTCTACCATTAATCCCTGATGCCAGTCCACCCAACAAAGACGGAAGAGAGAAGATTTATATTTGTTTTGAGGCAGTGCACCTGCCTGCCCAAGGCAAATTTCTGCGGACTTGCAAGTTTTAAAAGCAAACTGTCGGGATTTTGCACCCTTTTTACGTATATCTATATAGGTTAGACTCGAAGAACTACCAGATGAACATGTTTTCTAGTGCCAACTCAACAGATCAAATGAGGACCTAAGAATGGAGTCTCATAAAAGCTTGCCTTGATGGCTATACCTCCTACTACAGAGGATAGCACCAGCATCTTTCGAAGTTGAGAGGGGCAAAAGCTGAACCCTAGACTTTGTTGATTGTTCCCTGACTTGGAGTGAATATCCATCGCTAGAGATCTTGTATGGGCCTGTTGACTAGTATCTCTAGTGATGAGCTTCAAAGCAAGATTTGCCTCTCTTTTCAACCATCTCAAATCTACCAATCATACTACCGAGTACAAACTGTGAATAGAAAATTTACAAATTTCATACATACCAATAAGGTCATAACCATGTGATATTGGGAGTAAATACGTTTCAGGCCCAAAACTGACTTCCCTGCATCTATAAAGCACGGGCACTCCAAAAATGGTGCAGTACGAGTACCGGGTACTTACCGGGTGCAGGTACGCGTACCGGTACGACGATACACGTACTGGGTACACTGAATACATGTCAGATACGGCAAATACAGTTGGGTACGCCGTCAGTATGGTGAGGTGAGTTTTTTTTTTTTTTTTTTTTTTGCAGCTGCTAAAATTTATTGTAGCCTTTATTATTCTTCTTTTAATTTTGAAAATATCAAGTAATTTATTTCTAACATCATTTACCCATGAGTTATGATTTTACTCTCTTTTATATCCTGTTTTAGGTAATCAAAAAAGAAAGAATTATGCAACTTTTTTAACAAGTTGTTCTCTTTTTAGTTTTGATATTGAAACTTCGATTTGTATGTTGGATGTTTAGCTATAAATTTTTTAAAAAAAATGACGAACCCCAGCTGCATCCGTACCTTACTTTTTTAAGAATTTGCCACATCGGCATACCCGTATCATACACATACCTGCAGCCGTGCTTCATAGCCCTGTATCCCCTTCCCTCAGCAAGTTATATGTGAAAAATATAAATAAATAACTAAATATTGGTAAGTATTGTTAATTTTATCCCAACAAGTGTCAAATTGCTATTTCTAGAGAGTTAGGGTGAGTAGGCTAGTAGTGGAGTCTCTTGGAAGTATTGGTGGTCGCAGAAATAGTGCCAAGTCATTAGTGGCAGACTAGGTGAGAGTCGAGGCAAGGCAACCTTAGAGAAGGAAAGAAGGTGTGCAATGGAGATATGGAGTCTCCAGGTCCAGGTAGAAGAAAATGATTGGCAAGCATGTTCGACGAGGAAGGAAGAGAGTAACTATAGACAAAGGGCCCAAGTACATATAAGGGACAAGTGGGTTGCCTCCAGCTAACCTGACCCCATTAGCAAAGAGACTTCAACAAAGTGTCTTTATCTTTCTATGAAGAATGCCTTCTAGTGGAGATCTCTCTCTCTCTCTCTCTTTCTCAGATGGGCCAAGATGCAAATCCACTCGAGGAAGAATAGAACGAGCACCTCAACAAATCCTCAACTCTAACCACCAAGTTACAAGATCCTAGTGATCCTGCACAAAGCTTGGGTATCCCATGACTAAGGTACCATCCTCAAAGGGTACTAGGCTCTGCTCCTAACCTACACTGGCATAGGAACTTCTAGATGTCGTTAGATAATCAAGTGTAAACAACAGAGGAGTGCGCATGATTGGAGAATCGCTCAACCAAAATGACAGAGGTTGAGTGCGAAGGGGGCACACTCACTCCCTAGAACACCTTTCCCTTCGAAGATATATGTGGAGCTTCAACTATTTCCTGCTAAAACTTTCTAAGGTTGGGTTTGGATCTTGTATTTGTGGTAAGATTTGTGAAGAAAAAATAAAAGAGATGGGAAATGTGGGGGGAAAAAAATCAACTTATACTTCATTCACATTTTCTTTACTTGTTTTCCTTTCACAAATTCCTCTTCAAAACCTAGATCCAAACACATGCCAAACCCTAGATCAATGTTATGGAATTACAATATTTATTTTGATGCCTAGAAACTAGAACGCAAGATCTAAAAACATTGATTTCCTCATCCATGGCACCAATACCCAACCGGCCTTCCAAATTCATTTGTTCTTTCTTTGTTACAAAAGTTTGGAGACCAACGGCAAATTCAAAAAATAATTGTAGTAATGAAACTTTTTCACACGTTATTTCCTAAGCTATGATATAGTTGAACTTAAATACCTAACACAATTCCAATCTCATTGAATCCGCCTAACTGACATGCATTGCACAAAAATTCACTAAAAATTAGCAATTACAAAATTACACGTACGCACAGCAGTGATTCAAGTAACATTAACTTCATTCATACACAGACACTTAGAAAAATGACAAATAGTATTGAAATTTTGCGAATTGTAGAACAATACCGTGCCTGCAAGCGAATGGGAGCGAAATATTCTGAGACTCAGCAGTGTGAAGTATATACTGGTCCTGCATTTACATTGATAAACACAACTGAGAAACCAATACATACACAAAATATGAAATACATACGAACACATATGTATAATATATATGCCCTAGAAATTGAAAATTGACCTCCGGAACGAAGAACTCGTGGACAAGTCCACGTTTTCTGTCGCGTACTGTGACTTTGTGAGTCGGAACCGACTGTGAATGGCTACCGGAACGGCCGGTGAGTTCGACCGGCGTTTGGAGCTCCGACGACGTCGTTCTACGGCAGAAGTTCAATGAATTCGAGGAGTTCGGAGAAGGAAACAGCCGGTGAAGGGGAGTGGAGAGAGTACATGGAGATCGGAGATTCATTGGAGGTTCTGTTTTTGTTTCTGTGCGAGTTTCTTTGAAGGTTGGTTGTGGAAGAGATAACTGAAACAGAAAAAAGTGTTTTTCTTGTTTTTGCAAATCAGGGCCTATTGCCCACGTTTAAAGAGTTTTTTTTTTTAAATATTCCAAAAAAAATAAATTAATGGAAGAATTGACTTACTTTTCAAACTATTTAAGAAATTAATCTACTTTTTAAAATCGTATTTTCAAAATGTAATTTTAAAATTGAAATTACATCTTCAACATGTAATTTTACTTTAAAATAGCAAGTTGAAAATATAATTTATGATAACACGGTGAAAAATTGCATGTTAAAAATATAATTTCAATTTCAAAATTACATTTTCAAAATACAATTTCAAAAACAAGTTAATTTCCCGAATAATTTAAAAAATAGTCAATTCTTTAATTTGTTTTTTTTATAAAAATATTTCAAAGAAAAACTCGGCAACGGGTTCGAATCCTTTCCACATGTATCCGGGTCTAATTACTGAATTTTAACCCAAAAAATATTTTTTACTTTTAAAATTATTTTTAAAAAAATTAATAAAGCATTACCACCAATACCGTTACCATCCAACCACTAGCCCCGCTAACACAACAATGTTGGCCGCCCCTATTATTACACTGTCACTACCGATGCCATATTAGTTTTATGTTTATATCAAAAATTGTTTTAAAATATTTTTCTAAAAATATTTATTTAATTTTAAGTTCTTAAAAATGATTTTTTATTTTGTTATTTTTAATAAATTTCTTAAATTTTTGAGTGTAAATAATCTCAAGATTCATTTCAGATTTGATTATTTTAATAATTTTTAATTTTTTGATTAAAAAAAATAAAAAGAATAATGTGAAACTTGTAGTGATTTTTTTTTATTAAAATGTTTGGTTTCCAAACATAGCCTAAATTTATTTGAAAGGTAAATTATTTATAAAAAAATTAGAATATTAAATAAATACAAAAAGAAAATATTAATTTTTTTTTTTCATTTAATAAAAATTTACAAATATTTTATATTTTAAATACATCTAAATAAGCCTGCAGTGATTCCTCGAGACACAACAACCCGACCCTATTTGTTAATATTATTTTTATATTATAAAATTGAAACAAACAAATGATTTTGGATAATAGTAGGGAGAGGAGCGAAGCATTTTTTAATTATTGTGGGGTTTATGAGGTGGCGCCACCATCTCAGCACTTATTCTGCATGTCAGACAAGTGGGCACCAAACGTGAGTCACCAAACGTGGCCTTCCCCCAAGGTCTCTTTATCTTTTACATTCACATATATTATATATATATTATAGGGTCATATGTGTGGTTAGAATATCAAATCACATTGGACCTAAGTTGGTTAATTTAAGGCTTTCCAAAACTTTCATTTCATATAATTTCCTGTGATTTATAGAGAGAGAGAGAGAGAGAGAGAGAGATGCATTCAGCAAAGGAGAAGGTACGTAACATGGCCAGTGCTGCCGAGGAGCATGTTGACATCTACAAAGCCAAAGTTGAAGAGAAGGTTACCTGTCCTCTCATTTTACCATATTATTTTTATTTTTTTTTCATTAAGTTGAAGTAAAAATTTCATCCAATGTGAAAATTTTGAATTTTTAACAAAATACCAGTCGACTGAGAGGACGATAGATTTAGTGTAAATTAACCGCAACCTATAAAATAATTTTGCAAGAGATTGTTGAGAAGATGTGTGAGAAGTACTTACAAATTTAATGAAACACTTTGGACATTCTCAATGATAAAAAATTTAAAGCATCTTCAATTTGATATTGGTTTGATGTTATGATTGGAGCACTAAAATTAAATTATTTTTTATCAAATTTAAATTTGATAAAAAGAAAAAGAGTAAGCGTTGGAGACGCTGTTACTCGTGTTTTCAATTTTTCTAATTTAAAAAAAAAAAAAAGGAGACGAATAGTCATTTAAACTAATATAATTTAAAAAGTTTTTTCACGAAATGTTAATTGGTTTTGAATTAAGGGTTGGTTTGGGGTGTACTAAAAAAGTGTACTTTTTGTCTTTTTACGAAAAGATGTGCAGAAAAGTAGAGAGGTGATGTGATGGAAAAAAGATAAAAAGATGAATTATATAGTAGATGACAAACAAGGCCTAAATTTTGAGTTAAGATGTTTCTAATTATTTTGACAAGACCATTTTCAAAATGCTATGAAAGGAAATGAAATGCAAAGATTTGGTTTTTTGAAATTTGAAGGTAGAGAAAGCAGCAGCAAGAACAAAGGAAGAGAAAGACATAGCACAGGAGCTAAGGAAAGCCAAGGAAGCCGAAGCCAAGATGAAGCTGCATGAAGCCAAGGCTGAGCACGCCGGGGATAAATTACACGCCAAGCATTCCCACCACCACCTTTGCGGCGACCATAACCCGACGATTGTCGGAGCTCATGGCCGCCACCACCATCCTGTCGGAACCACGGCAGTTCCGATGGCGGGGACCACAAATCCAACGTACCCTCTGGGAGGACACGCTCCCGGACATCATAATAAGTACATGTAGGTTTTTGTGTTAGAGAGAGACTGAGTGAACACAAATGTTGGTTTGTTTGTGATTTGTGAGTTTGTTTGTTCCATGTTTTTAAGAGCAAATGTCTGTTTTGTTGAATGGATGATGTTATTATAATCTGATTAGAGCAGGGTTTATACTGATGGGTATTATAATATGAATCATTAAAAATAATAACAAATAAACATTAAAATTGTACTTTGGTCTCTTACAAATCCAAGGAAATTAATGGTTGAATATTTTCTGGATACCGCACTCCTTTTTTTGTTTTAAGTTTTCAAATATATTTTTTTAAGTTTTTGAGGATTTTTCTTTGTATTTTTAATGAAATTTAAATATTTTTTAATTTTTGGTAAAGTTTTGAAATACATTTAGAATATATATATATATATATTTTTTTTCTATGCAAAGTTGGCTCCACCACTAATAGCAATTAGCATGAAATTAGACTAAATCAAGGTCAAAGAAGCCTTGGGCAAGGTGGTTAAATCAAGATCCTAAGTACTCAGATTGTTCAGACAATCAAGGTGAGAGAAGCCTAGGTAAGAGAAGCCTTGGACATGGTTGTTAAGAAGAGTTACATCATAGAATCATCATAAAATTTTATTTTTAATGTAAAATAAAATAAAAAGTATCAATAATAATTATTTATGATACATAAATAATTTTAAAATTATTATAAAAAAAACGATAAATTTAATAGCATGGGGGTTCATTCACACCTAAAACACAACGAGAGTTTGATATATGAGGAAATATTTGACAAAACAGGTTTAAGAATTCCTAATTTGATATAACCATAAATAAAGGATGGGGGTTCATTCACACCTAAAACAGAATTTGATATAATAGGTTTAAGAATTCCTGTACCATGATATAACCATAAATAAAAGACGGGGGTCATTCACACCGATCAAAGAAAAACACAGCGAGATAACATATAATTGCACCTTAAAATATCTTCAATCTTAGCCAATGAAATTTAACAATTCGATCCACATCGTATTTAGATTGTTCACAATAGTATGTATTCCAAACTACAGATAAAAATCACCAATTACAAATACGAGCCCCATGTGCTTCATAACAGAGAGACCTATAGAACCTCCTGTAAGATCCAGACTATGGGGTTTCAAAGTCCACAGTTTATGTCAGCTCAATTATACACACACATTGCTTCAATCAAAGACGACTATGGGGGGTTCGAATGAATACACACCATCCATTCCAGCTCACAGCTAATCAAATGGAAATCCAATCCCAGAAGACCCTGCTTTCTGTCAGGCAAGGCAATGTTCTTCTTCACTTCACACCCACTGCAATTTGCCTTGATACTCCACACCCTGTTGGATCTTACCGTCCGCTGCCAGTGCCTGTTTCCTCACTTTGGCTGGCCTAGCGACAAACTTCACTTCAAACCTTGGAAACGGTCGATGCTGATCAACCATATCAGATGCCGATGTTGGCTCCGGTAAAATCTCATCAAGAAACTCATCTGCAACATCTCCTTCTTCATCTATCTTCAGACGCTTTGCATACCATTTCAAACCCTGAATGTATAGAAAACATAGAAGATATGACTTGAAAACACCAAAGACAACAGTAAAAGTAAAAATAAAAGAAATTAATTATGATTGATTCAAATGTATTGCTGTGATGATTAAGCAATATTGATTGAACTAGTATCAATAACACAATTCAACATGTACCCAAGGTCCTTGGCATGTAATTCTGTTTCAACGATAGAGCTAATACTTTTTCAACATCTTTTACAATTCATATAATTTTCTATTTATTTTCATCATGCTAACTATCAATCCTAATTAGTGTTCAAGATAATTCTAGTCTTTTCTTCATTGCCAACATCCATCCAAACAATGTGAATTTTAAACTCCTCTGACTCTTCTTGGTAGTGTCCTACTCACTTCCAGCTTACTACTTCCAGCTAATTTCTAACATACACTTCGCAGTTCTCACACTCATTTTTAAAATAACTAAATGCACCCCATACCTAATTTTTTAAAATGCCATTTAAATTATGAATAGTGTTGTCAGCTTCACCCTGGGATGCACCTGGAGTTACCAAAAAAAGCTTAGGCCTGATTTAAAGTTTGGGCAATTAGATCTGAGGTACTATAAAATTAGGTGTGTTCATTTGTCTAAGCTCAAAACAAAACAACCGCCCATAGTTTTTGCCAAAATAAGGACAATCAAGGAACACATGACTTTACACTAGTTTCAAATGTTCCTAAGGTATGGTAAGGGGGGAAGAAGTAGTAAAAATAAAATAAAAAACAAATAAGGCACCCTTCAAATTATGAATGGTGTTGTCGGTCAGATTCACCTTGGGATGCACCTGGAGATACCAAAAAGATTAGGTTTGATTTAAAGGATTGGGCAATTGGATGGTATTATAACATTAGGTATGCACTCATTTGTCTAAGATCAAAATGAAACAATTATCTGTATATTTAGACGAAGGAAGGAAATCAATGAACACATAACTTGTGCTAAATTTAAATGTCTTAAAAGGAAATTTAGAAAATACAGTGAACGAGGAACAGGTAATAAAAATAAAATCGAACCATATAAGGCAACCCTGACAATCTTAAACTAAGAGCGAAACACCACCTAATCACAGTCTTTGAACCATGTTTAGTTTCTCTTGGTTATAAGTGTGCACTAGAGAAAATGTCCTACAGCAGCAACATCACATCTTATAATTCTGTCCATGACAGAGGAAAGCACCCAAGTTATGCAAGGATCTCCGAGCTACTCAAGAACTTAACAGATATTGGTATATGACCAAACAAAAAACCTATTCTGCATAACATCTATTATGCAATATATGAGCTACCTTAAAAGACCAGATAGTCAGGTACACATGAAGGTGGTGGTGATTGTAGTCATGGTAATGCATACAACAACGAAGGGCGGGAGTGGATCACCCAAATAGTAACAAAATTTTAGAAGTGTTTAAAGAATTCCCGTATTTATCTACTATTTTCAACCAACGAACAAATTTCAGATCTATCTCACATATTTCGATAATTCTCAAATATGTTTCAAATCTCCCAAATATTAAGAAAAAATTACATGAAATTATAAATCATATTTTTCAAGTTTTTCAACATAAATTAAATAATAAAAAAATCTTCAATTTTTTTCTAAATTATTGCTAATATTTTCCCCAGTAACTCCTGATATGTGCACATTTTGTATCATTTTGTGTTATGCATTTTATGATCTCGGGAAAAAAAAAGGATATGGATACGTATAACTTGTTTGTCAATTGGACTAAATTGACATAATATTTGTTTCTTTGTGTTTTCCTAAACAAAAACAATGAAAAGTTTAGAAACATCAATCCTTTACATTTTTAGCGAAATCAATTTAGAAAGTGTTAGTAAAAGCGTGCTTTCAGAAAATTTTCCAGACTGACACAAGGATTTTCAGTCCAAACAGAGATTATTTTTATGTCAAATAATTTCATATTCCCAAAATTGCCACTATAACCATAAATGAAGGTTTTAGTGTCATAAAAAGAAAATGCATCATATATTGACTATTCAATAGAGCTAAGATAGTAACCAGATTGTTAAATATGCATGTGAATGTGGTATGAGCAGAATTCATGGCAATGCATGTAACAGTGGAGGGACCAATAAATGACAGGATTCATAAATGAGGACATCCACATTAAAAGAAGAAGTGCGAGGATACTAGTTGAAGAAGAACACTTGTTGAGGAAGGCTGGTTGGTCGTCACACATTGGCAAAGATATATGAAATAAAAAACAGTAAGGTATGTTTTTCCATCCACGACCAATCATTTCTATTTTTCTTCCAATGCCTAAGGGCAATAGACTCATATTAGAAGATTGGGGTACTATAGGAAAAGGAAATACATGTTGATGACAATGAAAGGCCTATTAAGACAAGCTAAAAGGCACATACTAAAAAATTTATTAAAGGAGCACATACTAAGGATTTTTTTTTAATTTTTTTTTTTTTTTTGGGGATAAATAAGCACATACTAAGGATATAGAATGAATAGTATCAACTCCATAGCTGAAACTGAAAAATAGTAATGAATGCACTAATAGCAATCACAGTTTCAAAGAAAAAGACAATATTAGTTATGAAACAATCAAATCAAAAGAAACAACATTGAGCATAAAGAGTGTAATACATTTTGGCAGCGGCTACTCATTACCAATGATTGACATGTCATGCATTTGTTCCCATAGCACCATTCCACAAGCCTGCCAGCAATTTAGTTACTTCCAACAAGTCGACTTTAATTATTGAAAGCATCTATGAAGAACATGCATACTAATTCTTTTTCTTAAATAAACTATGAATAATTCATTACTTCTCCTCAGAGCAATCTATACTTGTTTTATTCATTCAGCCTTTTTGGAATGTTTCTGCAATAACATTGCAAGAAAAGGATTAAAACTTTAAGAAAACTTGTTATTTAATTACAATTTATAACTAATAATGCAAAGCTCAAAGTTGATCCTAACATTTTTTTTGGGTTAAATATATCAATGATTCTCTCTTGTATACTAGCATTCATAACTACTAGTTGACAAAATATCCCAAATAGAAACTCCAAGCAATCAAGCTTACAATGAATGATTAAGACCTAGAATACACTAGGTGGTCAAATTTACAGAACAGTTAGTTTGTCCTTACTACTGTTCAGATGAATCCCTTTGAAACTTGTGTCTCAAAAACGGTTCAATTTCAAGAAAAAACATTTCAACCAGAAAGTTGATCTGGTCACCCGCTCAATCTGGTCCCACGTTCATTAACCACCCAATTAAACTCACTTAAAAGCGTAGAAATAACATTCGATTATCATGTCATCCTAACAACTAAAAAGGCAAGTTTTAGGGTTTTGTTCTTTAAAGCTATGAGAAATCTTCGGCCACAAACATCAACCCAAAATCCTCATTTGGGGTGTTTCATCATAGAGTTCCAAGAATAAGAACACAAAAAGGACATTTGAGATTAGCCACTAAATATGTGATGTATTAGAAACAACAGAGTATGTGTTCATCTAGCTGACATTGATAGTCTACCACAAAGCCCATGCTAAAAAACTTGGTGATACCTCATATAGTCTAAAATAAGAGAAGAAATACTTATTGATTTGGTCCAACCTTCAACAGTAATTGGTAGGGTCCCTGTCCTATAAATCCATTTACAAATGGGATTGCATTATCTGTAAATGGACAGACCTCAGGCACTGTAACAGAAAAAGACACAGGCAAAGTGAATCTAGGAAATTGAACCAAATTGCTTTGTGCGCATTGGGACCTGAGCAGCATAGAAAGAATGAAACATCAAACCAAAGGCTCTTTGTAATATCTGCTGCTTACTAAACTTCTCACTGTTACATACATTACAAAATATCAAAGGCCCACCAAGGCTTGTTCATCTTTGCACCCATGAAAATGCTAGTAGCACTCCAAATGGAACCAAGCAATTCTTCTTTCATCCACTCACCTTGATTTGCATAGGAACCAAGCAATCATTCTTTCACCCCTTACAAATAACCAAAAATCCCATCGTCGTTTTAAACATATTCTGTTTTTTAGTATAAGACAGCACAAGAAGTAGTCCTGAAAATGCTACTAAGCCAACATAGTAAATCAGTCTTGTTTGAAGAACCATACGTGAACAGCATACAGAGTTACATTGAGATCGCATAAATCCCTCACTTCTACATACATTACAAACTATCAAACACCCAAAGTTTGTTCATCTTTGTACCCACGTGAATGTTAATAATAATAACACTCCAAAAGGCATATGTTAATTCATAAGTAGTAGCATACTCATGCGGACATGACCAAAGTCTACTGAACTATTACAAATGAGACAATTAAGATAATGATTGAAAATCTCACACTCATTAACTGCATCAGCAAATAAATATTTTTCTTCAACGCAGTTAATGAATACTACTAACTAGTTTACTGAAAATGCTTGATTTGCATAGGAACCAAGCAATCATTCTTTCACCCCTTACAAACAACCAAAAATCCCATCGTCGTTTTAAACATATTCTGTTTTTTAGTATAAGACAGCACAAGAAGTAGTCCTGAAAATGCTACTAAGCCAACATAGTAAATCAGTCTTGTTTGAAGAACCGTACGTGAACAGCATACAGTGTTACATTGAGATCGCATAAATCCCTCACTTCTACATACATTGCAAACTATCAAACACCCAAAGTTTGTTCATCTTTGTACCCATGTGAATGTTAATAATAATAACACTCCAAAAGGCATATGTTAATTCATAAGTAGAAGCATACTCATGCAGACATGACCAAAATCTACTGAACTATTACAAATGAGACAATTAAGATAATGATTGAAAATCTCGCACTCATTAACTGCATCAGCAAATAAATATTTTTCTTCAACACAGTTAATAAATACTACTAACTAGTTTACCGAAAATGCTTGATTTGCATAGGAACCAAGCAATCATTCTTTCACCCCTTACAAACAACCAAAAATCCCATCGTTGTTTTAAACATATTCTGTTTTTTAGTATAAGACAGCACAAGAAGTAGTCCTGAAAATGCTACTAAGCCAACATAGTAAATCAGTCTTGTTTGAAGAACCGTACGTGAACAGCATACAGTGTTACATTGAGATCGCATAAATCCCTCACTCCTACATACATTACAAACTATCAAACACCCAAAGTTTGTTCATCTTTGTACCCATGTGAATGTTAATAATAATAACACTCCAAAAGGCATATGTTAATTCATAAGTAGAAGCATACTCATGCAGACATGACCAAATCTACTGAACTATTACAAATGAGACAATTAAGATAATGATTGAAAATCTCACACTCATTAACTGCATCAGCAAATAAATATTTTTCTTCAACGCAGTTAATAAATACTACTAACTAGTTTACTGAAAATGCTTTCGTGTGTTGAACACCATAGGATGAATTAATACTCGCTAATTAAATTTGTTGCGCATCCATGTTGGAAACCTAAATTAAATTTCAGTAAACTCAGAAGATTATATATTTGGACTATAAAATGTAGGACAGGTGTCCTTCCAACAATGGAGGAGCTCACTTGGACAAGTAACCACCCCCGACTTTAGTCACCTAATCTTTCATTAGATCATTAGATGTCAATGCACAAACTCCAAAAAGAAACTCAAGATTTCCCGCTTGTCGTCTTTCTTGTAGATTCACATGTTCCATTTTTGTTATTCTTAAAATTGTGTCTTCGTATGAAATGATTTACAAGTGGCCCTGTGGTGGCCACGGTTCTGAACCCTAATCTACTAACATTGAAACGGTTTAGACTGTATAATTTCTATGCAACTGTGGGTACAATTTCTCTTCAAAAAGATAGCTTCTTGACTCAAACCTATATACCAAATTAAAATTTGGATGAAAAATCACTCAAAACACCCTCCATTCCTTGACCCAAACTTGTACCAAATTGAACTTTACTCGAGTTTTTTGCCCAAATCAAGGAAGACTCAAAATTTTCAAGGCTTTTACTCAAAATTCATATCAAATAAAGCTTTTGACTCACATTTTTACTCATTTTTTAGTAAAATCTTGAGTAATGAACAACAAATCCGAAACGAAAATAACACAATAGCTGACAAAATCAAAAGAGCAAAACAAGACCAAGTAAAGAAACTAGAAACAATCAAAGATTCACCTGAACACCGCCATCGCCGACGATACAGGGAACGAGAACTGGGCCGAGCTGAGGTCTCTCGACGGGGACTTGAACAGGAACGCTGAAGCCTTTACGATGAAGGTGAGATTCTACTCTATGCGAATCAGGACCAAGATCGTCTTCGACTTCGTCTTTGACTTCGTGCCCATCGTCCTTGGGAAACCCTAGAAACCCCGCGAGTCTCCTTAGAAGCCCCATCACTGAGCCAATCTAATTATATGTACGCAAAATATGTATACATATAGAGGTAGAAAGAGAAATGTGCGTGGTGGTGGTGGTGGTGTGCGGCAGCGATCACCGCCGCCGGCGACACGGTAATGGAGAATTGGAGAGAGAAAAAAGAGCTTTTAGAGAGAGGACTTTTTGGGGCTGGTGTGAGGTCGTTGGTTACGAGCAAGAAAATCAGTGTAGGCACATTTTAAAGATGGTGGCGTTGGTTTTACAGTCTGTTTGGACGGCGTGATAGTGGTGAAAAAGATACGCAATAGGGTGAAAATTTCCGAAAAAGTGAGAGAAAATTTTATTTTATTTTATTTTGTAAAGGAAATGTAAGATTTGGTTAAAAATAATTGGGTAAATTTCACTTTATTTCTGTGGTAACGTTCATAAGATTTATGAATTAGAACGCAGGTCTCATTTGACATAACTTATATAATTTATTTTTTTATTTTTTTATTTTTTTTTTATTATATTATCTTTCTATTTTTTTACACATTTTTTCGTAAAAAGATAAAAAATGTACTTTTTTAAAACACCCCAAACCAACTCTAAATTCTGTTAGCTGAGCGTGTAAATTTAAGGGTGTTTGGGAACTTAATTTTTGAGTTTTTTTTTTTTTGTTTTTTTATGACAAGAAAAATGTTTTACAAAATAAAAATAATAATAAATCTAAACAAAATATCATATCAAACTCCATAATCATTTTATTTTTTTTCTCACAAACATCACACCCAACAAAAAAAAATCTAACTATCTTTTCAAATACAAAAAAAAAAATTCTCTAATAATATCCTACAACTAAAAAAACCCACTTTCCAAACACTTACTTTTAGGCCATGGCTTTTGTCCTGTTGGGCCCCGTGAGAGCCCACCACGGGTCTCGTTTTGATAATCTGAACCGTTCAATGTGTAAAACTCGTCGAGTACTATATGCCTGTAAAAAATTACGTTGATCGGATATCGATAGCTATGTAAACAAAACAATTTTTTTATCAACCGTTAATTTTTTCACCGTCCATTTTTTTATACAAAACTGATTTGATCATATAACTATCGATATCCAATCAATGAGATTTTGTACAGGCATGTAGTACTCGACGAGTTCTACACATTCAACGGTTCAGATTTTCAAAACGGGACCCGTGGTGGGGCCCCCCGGGCCCAACAGCACAATATTTAATGGTTTAGATTTTCAAAACGGGACCCGTGGTGGGCCTTTATGCCTCCGTTTTCTTCCTCTTTTCTCTTTTAAATTAAACCTCTATACATACATACATCTATACTATTATAAAGTGAGCACCTCTTATGGTGTCCTGAAATTTGTACTATTATAAAGTGAACACCTCTTGTGGTGTCCTATGATGTCCTGAAACTTTGTTTCTTATGCTGCCACGTATCTACTTTTTTTATTTGAAATTAAAAGAAAATTAGATAGATGAGTGGAGGGGACTTGAACCTTAGACTTATGTTAAAAGAATAAGACTCTTACCACTTGACTAGCACACAATATATAATAAATTTTTTATTTTATTTTTATTTATTTAAATAGCATACGCATCGCTTGTGACAACCGCTAATATATATATATATATATACGCACTTATTTCCTTTCTTCTTCCTCCCATGCTACCAACTCTAACAAATTTCATTCTAACTTACCAACTCTAACAAATTTCATTCTAACTTGTACAAGAAAACCAAGCGGCACACACATCTCCGCACCAAAAAATCAGTCACTCATTCTTACCATCAACAATAAATACATATATATATAATCTGTATATATGTATATATAACGTATAAATTTATATGTATTATCTAATCATTTAATATTTTACAAATCAATTTAAAATCTAAATACTAAATTTTTAAAATCATTCACAGTAGCTATCCGTTATATTACCACAAAAATCATTCACAATAGCTATTCCTCCCAAAAAAACACAAAAAAGAAGAAAAAAAAAAGTTTGTGAATATATATACTTTTTCATCCCAAAAGACTCTTCATCCTAAATATATACACAAAACCTAAGGTCCTTTCTAAAGATAGATCACGTTGGTTAGTGGATATTAATTTTTAACTTCAAAAAATTTTGATTGATGCAAATCCAACATTTTTCTTCCAAGTTTTATTGCTTTTCTTATTAACTTGAAGTGGCCATGGAGTTGTAGAGAAGGACGTGGGCATAGCCATGTGAAAGGAACGAAAATATAAAGAGTGGGAAGATTGGTACAATATGCTAGAGGTAAGAAATATAAAGAGAAGTAGTAGAGAGAAAATGATGACATACCTTTGCAAATTTAAAGATATTCAAAGAATATCTTGGTCTTAAAAAGTATGTTACTTCTTTTATGGGTCCAGCTTGTCTTAAGTTGAGATTAAGATTGAACTCGTCCAGTTCGATCTATGGGATCCATTTTTTGAGCCCGTTTTAGTAATGTGAACCGTTCAATGTGTAGAACTCGTCGAGTACTATATGCCTGTAAAAAATCACGCTGATCGGATATCAATAGCTATGTGATCAAATCAGTTTTGTATAAAAAAAATGGACGGTGAAAAAATTAACGATTGATAAAAAATTGTTTTGGTCATATAGCTATCGATATCCGATCAACGTGATTTTTTACAGGCATATAGTACTCGACGAGTTATACACATTGAACGGTTCGGATTATCAAAATGGGACCCGTGGTGGGCCCTCACGGACCCAACAGCACGGTCTAATCCGATCTTGGACTGGACCAAAGTCACTGCCTTTTTTATAGGCGTTTGAACTACACAGTCAGTTAATTTTGACGAAAAAGTGGACGGTGTATTTTAGTCCATAAACCGTATGGAAGTTATGCGGTGGTTTTTGAATGTTAGGGGGTAATCTGCACCAAGCCCAAATCAGAGGAAGTAATTGACGTTTGCCAAAAATAATTTTACTAATAATATTTTTTTACAATATAAAGATTATCTATTAGAATAGGGAAAAAATATAATAAATGAGACATATAACTTTCATATATTTTTATTTGAAAGTCCAAAATCTATAATGAAAGCCGTTGGTTGGGTCTACAGACCTACTACGGGAATTGATTTAGTAATTTAGGTCATTCATTTTATCAAATATTTTATGTATTTTATCCACTCATAAAATTATTTTGATTCGATAATCGTATTCTAATTTTATTATTGTACGGGGGGCAAATATTCGGTACCGCCTGTATTCCTTACGTCCAAGCTCCGCTTCGATCCGATTAACCTGCAAGCACAACGGCGGTGAACTACCCGGCGGTGTGTTGCCGGAAAACCCCTCCGACGGTCAAGTTAGCACACACTCAGAGATAGAGAGAGAGAGAGAGGAAGAGAGTTTCTCTCACCATATGAAGTTCCATGCCTAGCATGGGGGGCGGAGTCATCCTTATATACTTTCTGTGTTCACTTCTGCACCCATTCGTCTATTGACGCATAGAGTTGTTCTCCCATCTGTCAGCGCAAAACCAGCTAAACACCACCTAATCAAACCGTCAGACGACATTAACGGGAATTAGCAGCCCGGCGGCATCACCTCGGCCTCATACGACCATGCTACGTAACGAGTCTAACAGCGCCACTCGCCGAGCTCCGTTATGACCGAGCTTAGCAGCCCCCCGTAATGACTGAGCAGTTGCTCGGTCAGACGATCTGCGGAGGATCTTGCACGCCGATCTCAACGAGCAAACAACGCGAACCGAGCTAGCAGAGAAGTTATCCTGGCCAAATCGGACCTGGGCTTTAACCGAGTGCACTGCATCTGGATTGTCCCAGCCTAGCTCGACCCAATATGCTCGAACCAATTTTAGCCCGGTCATTACCACGGCCCAAAGCCAGCTTATGAAAGCTCCCTCACAATTGCCCCTTAATTTTGTCCGCATTTGCGTGATCGGAATTACATTACAAGGCCGGGCTAGACTTTTTGCTCGGTGGTTTACTTTGCTCGGTTTAGAAACCTCAAAGTTGACAAACAAAGTCAACTCGTCAACACGCTTATTGGCGAGTAAAATCAACTCAGCAACTTCTTGAGCGAGCAAAATCAACTTAGCAAGGACCTTCAAAGTTAGTGAGGAAAGCCAGCTCAGCAACTTGATTCTTGGTAAATAAGATCAGCTCAGCAAGGAACTCCAAGGTCAGCGAGCAAGGTCAGCTCAACGACTTTCTTCTTGACGAGGAAGATCAGCTCGGAAAGGAAATCCAAGGTCGGCGAGCAAGATCCGCTCCGCGACTTGCTTATAGGCGAGCAAGATCAGCTCAACAAGGAACTCCAAGGTTGGCAGGCAAGGTCCGCTCCGCAACTTGCTTATTGGCGAGCCAGATTAGCTCAGCAAGGAACTCCATGGTCGACAAGCACGGTCCACTCAGCGACTTGCTTCTTGGCGAGCAAGATTAGCTCGGCAAGGAACTCCAACATTGGCGAGCAAAGTTAGCTCGGCGACTTTCTTCTTGGCGAGCAAGATTAGCTCGGCAAGGAACTCCAACGTTGGCGAGCAAAGTTAGCTCGGCGACTTTCTTCTTGGCGAGCAACATCATCTGGGCAAGGAATTCCATAGTCAACGAGCAAGGTTCGCCCAGCGACTTGTTTCTTATCAAGAAAGATCAGCTCGGCAAATAACTCTAAGGTCGGCGAGCAAGGTCAGCTGGCGACTTGCTTCTTGGCGAGCAAGATCAGCTCGGCAAGGAACTCCAAGGTCGGCAAGCAAAGTCAGCTCGACGACTTGATTCTTGGCTAGCAAGATCAACTCGGCAAGGAACTCCAAAGTTGACGAGCAAGGTCGGCTCCCCGACATGCTTCTTGGTGAGCAAGACCAGCTCGGCAAGGAACTCAAAGGTCGGCGCGCAAGGTCGGCTCGGCGACTTACTTCTTGGCGAGCAAGATTAGCTCGGCAAGGAATTCAAAGGTCGGCGAGTAAGGTCAGCTTGGCGACTTGCTTCTTGGCGAGCAAGATCAGCTCGACAAGGAACTCAAAGGTCGGCGAGCAAGGTCAGCTCGACGACTTTTTTCATGGCGAACAAGATCAGCTCGGCAAGGAACTCCATGGTCGACAAGCAAGGTCCACTCGACGACTTACTTCTTGGCGAAAAAGATCAACTCGGCAAGGAACTCAAAGGTCGGCCAGTAAAGTCAGCTCGGCGACTTTCTTCTTAGCGAGCAAGA